TTTTAATTATGAAGTGTCTTGGTGTGGGTCTCCTTAGGTTCATCTTGATTGGGACTCTGTACTCCTGGACTTGTATGTCTACTTGCTTTGCAAGGTTAGGGAAGTTTTTGGGCTTTTTTTTTTGGTCACTATTTTTTCAAACAGGTTTCTATTCCTTGCTCCCCCTCCCCTTTCTTTCTTGTACACCTATGATGCAAACATCAGCACACTTGATGTAAGGCCCTTAAACTTATTGCCACTTTTTTTTTTTTGCTGTTTCAAATAGGTGTTTTCTACTACCTTGTTCCAGACTGCTGGTTTGATCCTGTTTCATGTGCTCTGTTGATTACCTCTAATGCATTATTATTCATTTCAGTTAATGTGCTCTTTAATTATAACTGTCTTTTGTTTTCTGTCTCCATTTTTTATATTTTCTATCACTTTGTTAAAATTCTTAATGAGTGCATTTTTCTTCCCCTAAGTTCATTGAAATCCTTATAACCAGTGTTGTGAACTCGGCATCTGATAGAATGCTTGTCTTCATTTTGTTAAGTTCTTTTTCTGGAACTTTTATCATATTGTTTCATTTGGGACATGTTTGTTTCCTTATTTTGGCTGACTCTGTTTCTGTGTTAGGTAGATCTGCTACCTCTCCTGGTTTGGCAGAGTGGCTTTAAATACTATGTGTGCTTTGTGCCCAGTGGCACAGTCTCCCTGGTTACTTGAGCTGGCTACTCCAGGGGTGTTCTTTGTGTGGGTTGTATGTGTCCTGCTGTTTGAGCTTTGATTGCTTTTGCCTTATCAGTGGCTGGGATTGAACCCTTAGATTGACTGGCTGTGAGCAATGGTTGTAACTACAGTAGATAAGCTTTTGTGGGGGCTGAACCCTTGTAGTGGGGTTCACTTTAGCAAGGTTCTGGTACCTGCTGAATATACCCCTGAGGTACATCATTTGTGGAGCTGGTTGGTTGGTATTATAGTATGGTCTGAACCTGCCCACTGGGTGTATTTATTCTGGGTCCTTTTGGGGGGGGGCTCTGTTGCAGACTAAGGTCAGGTGCTGTCTGTGTTGAACTGGTGCTACCTGGTAGGAGTTATAAAGTGATCTGTGTTTGGTTGCCACCTGCGCTGGGCGTGGAGGCAGCAGGGAGGACTAGGCCATGAACCAAGGCTGGCTGCCACTACTGCTTGATTTGCTGTTGCTTAGCAAGAGATACTGGGCACACGGAGGCCAGCTGCTGCTTGTTTGGGTTTGTGAACCTTTGAAACATTTTCCCCCCCAGCATGGGCCAAGTGAGGCTGCTTGTATGGAGGATACACTGGAAGAGGTTTGAGCTGGTACATTGATTAGGTATGTCAAGGTCTCAGAGAATTATCAGGTGGGCTGAATGGTGTTAAGCCAAGTTAATGGAGAGCTCAGATTTGGCCCCTGTCTGCACATACCAGCTCTGGCCGGGGGGGTGGTCAACAAAGCAACAGTGGTGTTGTCAGCACTTCTATCCCTAGAGAGCTGCCCTGACCCCTGCCCCTCCAGCTGTTGCTCTGAAGCTTGTCAATTCAGCTCTTCACCATGTCTCTGGTGATCTTTGAACTCCCAGCACAGGGGGGCAGAGCAAGTGAGTTTGTGAGTCTGTGCCTAATGCCTTTCTAGCAGTGCCTCAGTGTCTAGCAGCCTTCAGTATTAGCTGCAATTCCCACTGGTTTTCACAGCCAGTTACGAGGACTTCGAGGCACTGGAACACTATGTTGAGGATCCTGGTGTGGGGCTGGGACCCCTTGCTCCTCAGGGGGCAGGCCTCAGCGAGCAACCAAGATATATCCCGCCTATTTCCTAACCATCACACTACGGGTTTGGGAACCACCCATTCTGTATCTTTTTCTTTGCCCCGCCAGTCTCAAATTAGCTTCTTCTTTATATCCTTAGTTATAGGAATTCTATTTAGCTAAGCCTCCAGGTGGTTCTCAGTGACAGCTCCTCTGTAATTTAGTTGTAATTTTTTAAAAGATTTTATTTATCCATCTTTAGAGGGGAAGGGAAGGAGAGAGGGAGAGAAATATGAATGTATGGTTGCATCCCCTGCCGGGAACTGGCCTGCAACCCAGGCATGTGCCCTGATTGGGAATCGAACCTCGATCCTTTGATTCACAGCCCCGCACTCAATCCACTGAGCTACAGCAGCCAGGGCTATTTAGTTGTAATTTTGATGTGGTCATGGGAAGAGACAAGCACAGCATTTACGTACTTTGCCTTTTTGACTGGAAGCCCACCCATCACATGCTTTTGAATGCTATCCATATTACCAAGAATAATTGATATATTTTTGTGCATAATTATGTCACAGTTCTAGTTTGTTTCCCTAATGCGACCATAATAAGGTCTAGAGGGTTGAGTCATTTTATTTATTTTTGTTTCTTTTGGTTCTTGCACTCAGCAGAACCTCATTCAATATCTGTGGCCTAAAAGTGATCAAAGAAACCACTGATACTGGCCCTAAGATTCCTCTATCACCATTCCTACCACCCAAGTTTAGGTGCAACTAAAAATACAAACTCCAGCAAAAACTTTTAATTTCTGGAAGGGCTTTTTATCTTAACAAAACTTTCCACATTAATGATCACAATAAAGGGAAGTTGACCTGGGAAATATTGCTAATTTTTTTCCTTTTGAGTGACAAAAAGGAAGACCATAGTTTCCCCAAATCCCCAAATACCACTATGTCCTCAAATTTAAAGAACTAATGAGATTTCTAATTTCCAAGTGTGGTGGTTTCTGAATTACAGCATGTTAATGGGAGAGTTGCTGTGTACTCAGATTGATCTGCTTGCATTTACTCACTAATACTAATTAATACCACTGCTGTTAGTTTAGGACTAGTGGAAATATTTACTGGCCTAAAAGATGCCAGCACTCCATACCAGTTTCCCAAAGTGGGGTGGACCAGATGACTCCTGATGTTCAGGAATCAAGTAGTGGAAATTGTACACATACACTCACATTTTTATCTCATCATCCAAATATTCTATTATGTACACAGCTTATAGGTATATTTTATAGTTAATAAACACACAAGTTAAAGTTTAAACTTTATTGGTTATATCATAGTCTTTGTTTCTGCTTCTCTTTAGCTTAAATTTCTCTTAGCTGTCGTGTATAGCAGAGGTCTCTTAAGTTTTTAAATTTTTCTTTCCAGTCAAAAAACTATTTGGATTTTGTTGTGTGGCAAATTTTAGGTGGTTCTCAAACTCATATGAGAAGAGTCTTGTTGATTCTCCAACATACAAAAATGAAAATTTTATCACGTAGACCCCAGTTGGATGTCTTACTAATTTTGATTCTGGCTGTTGTTTGGGATACAGCCCACTGAGAATAAAATGACAAGGTGGGAGGCAATAACTTTCTCTTCCACGCTACCGCCAGCACACCCAGGGCTTAGTGACCTCGGAAATCACTAATCCAGTCTCTAGCTTACTTACGTCTAAAGTTCACTCAGAGGAATCACTTACTTGTTCACATTTTAAACTCCCCTACCACCTTTAGTGCCTGAACCCCAAATTTGAATAAATTAGTATTCTCCATGCTTTTGGCCCTATGCTACAGAAAATATACAGATTGTAAATTCTGTTACCAACCTGAGACCCACAAAAATCCCACTTATTTGCTAGTCATCTGACTCAGTGAAAATGACTTCTTAAATTGTCTTCCTTCTAAGCGTCTTTTTATCATTCTTCCCTCTCCCCCCACTTTAACAAACTATTTCATCAAGAAAGTGCAAGCCATACCATTATCCCACCAACACTACATATCTACCTGCATTCGTAGCCATCCTCTGCATTCCCTTCTGAAAGAATGCTGGTGGTGTCTCTTAAAAGTAATTTTTCCACCTTGACAGTGGGTCCTATATCCTCTGGGCATATCAGGTATTTAATGCTATTATCCCTTTTTCCCTATCTTCACTCTTTCATTTTCTACTTGCCCCTTTATACTAGAATAAAATAGTTCAGATGTTCTCCCATGTAGAGTAGTAAGGTCTTATGTAATAAATAATTGAAAAAAAAAGAGAAAAGCCTTCTTTAGAAAGTACATTCTCTCCCAGCTACTACCCTTTTTCTCTATTCCCTCTATAGCCAAAATTTTGAAAAGTTTTAATTGCTGCTTCCATTTATCCAAAATCCAATCAAGCAAATAATTCCCTTGATTCTAACTTCTGAGTATCTCTCGAAATCATTTACTGATCTATCTATATTCCTACTCTGGTCCAAGCCATGATCATCTCTCCTTTGACAATTTCCTGTCCCTCTTACATTCACTTTTGCCCTCTACTCTTCTCTATACAGCAACTAAAATGATACTTTAAAAACCCAAATCTCAAAATTCCTTCCTTAAAAACCACAAAGGTTTTCTGCTGACTTAGGATAAAGTCCAGTGATCACCATCATGGTTTATACATGGTCTTATGGAGTCTGGCCCCTATCTTATTTTAATTCTCTAACTTTCCCTGGCTTCCTTATGCTATACTCATACAAATTTGTTTTCAATGCCGTAAAGTTTCTATGATTTCATCAATTTAACACACTTTGCCCCAAACATTTCTCTAGAATTCATCTCACTACTACTCTCATCTTTTGGGTGTCAGTCTTCTGACTGATACTCACTTTGTCAGAGAAATCTTCCTTGGTCCTCCCAAAGTGGGCGAACTCTTCTAGATATACGCTGTCACCTATACCTTGTAATTTTCTTTATAGCATTCATAATTATAATTAGTTATTTACTTGACATTTACCTTCCTTGCTAGACATTTACCTTCCTTGCTAGATACAAACTTCATAAGGTTTTTTTGTCTTGTTCAATGATTAATTACTTAGCTCCCTGCCTGGGATATAGCAGGCATTCATACATTTATTGAATGGTTGACTGTGACAATCAATTGAGATAACTTACTACCTTCAGACTAACCTGAATGGTTGAAAGAAAAAAAAGAACTTAATAAGAATATAAAACATGATAACAAGTCTGGTAGAGTGAGAACAGACCCTTTTATTCATATATTGAGATAAACTGCAGAGACTGAAAGACAAGAAAATTATAAATTACTCAGAACATTCATTAAAAATCAAATTCATTTTCTTTAAGAGTTCTCACACAGAAAATTTTATATAAGTCTGATATAACATTAAGTATTTTACAAATCATACATTTCCTTTTTAAATCTAATTGTATATAGAATGCACTACAAAGTTCAGATTTCCTATACCAGTTTCACTTCATTTAACTAATACAAGGCTTCCATTAAAATTCCATCACACCTTGAAAATGACCTGCAGCTTTTAAACGCACATGACTTAAATGGAAAGTCTATGTAGCAATACATAAACAAAAACACAAACAAATATGTAAGAAGCATTTCTTAATATAAATAAGTTACAAAATATCATTTATGTGTGAGTTTCCTCTCCTTGGCATAGTTATCCAACTCAAAAAAAATTCATTCTGAAATTGACGCTTAAAATACTCCAATGTCACGGAAAAACTCCCAGCATTTTAGTGGTGCTCTTAAATAGCAAAGTAGGATATTAGACTGGAATGTCCCGATTCCTGTGCCGAAGTGAAGGAGACTCACTCACATTCATGCCGGTGTCATCTGCAATGCAGTTACTAGACAGCTTGGCAACCAGTAATCCCAATTTTCAATAATAAATTAAACTAAGACATTTCAAGGAATACTTCTTACCACCTAAGTATTTCCAGATTGCTAGATACAGGGAGATATAATTATATTAAAGTATGGGCCTTACAACAGGAATGTTTTAAAATGTGAAAAATGTCAACAGAAAGAATTCACACCAATGAAATTCTGTGGGCTGACTTTCAAAGTTAGAAATAGGAATAGCCGCTGCTAATGGAAGCCCTGCTCTGTGCAAACGTAGTGTGGTATGAAATAATCACATATTTGAGGTATTAGCGGGAAAAAATATTATATACAACTATACACGGACACATCCACAGAATATTCACAAATCTATTGGCCCCCAAACCAGCAGATAATAAATAAGGAATCACGTACCAAAAGGAAAAAGTTACACATGGAATTTACAAAAAAAAATGGGGTTACAAAATCCTTAATATAAGGAGTATGTTTTGAATTAACCTTTGAGGGAAAATGTTTTTCGTTTATATGAAAATACCTATTTAAATAGTAGTCAAACCAAAAGGAAAGCCTGAATTCTAGGACTGTGTTGCCTCCCAGATTATTAAAGGGATATGCAAGAATTCCTTGAAGATCCTCATCTACCCACTTTTTGTTTGGAAGTTGTTATCAGATGACTCTTTTCTTTCTCACTGGTTTATAGAAAAGTTTATGGATTTTTACTAGGTGTAGTCCAATGTGGCCAACAGACAAGGCTTTTTAGCTATTTGGTAAGGATTAAAATTCTGATTTATTGTTCATTTTCAGAAGTACTTCTCTTTCGAGAAGATTATGAATGCCCTTTTAGTTCGCATCACTTAGTATGAAGATGGTCATATGGGTAATACTAAAGCCAAACTTCATATATGGAAGCTAAACAAATGTACAAATTATCTTTTTGATCCATTTATTTCTTTAATGTAATACTTACTGAACTGGAAAAATGGCTCATTTGGTCCTCAGGCCAACATCAAGAAATATTTCACTGCTTTAACAAAGGTGGGAGATTTATTTATTTTTAAAGAGTATGTAGGAATACATTAGTAAGTAATATTAGCATGTCATGTATATTATATTAACAGCTGAATTTTAAAGTGCTGCAAATCAACAAAGGGACATGAACATGTTAATCAGTTTTCTTGGTTATTATTTTATATACTAGTGTAGCTGAAGATTTAACAGGAAGAAATGTAAGCATAAAAGTGCAATTAAAGTAAAGGACTGGAATTTCATATTCCTGTTCCTGTGAATACCTGAGCTGACAAAAAAGCAGAGTGCTGTAATGCCTTGGTATATACATAAGAAAGGACTTTCTTTTCTCTACCAAATCTTTGTAAATCATAAATAAGCATGTAATGATTATGAAACAAATACCTATTTCAGCATTCAAATGTAATGTTTCCAAAATATATTGTTTTCACTCACTAGATGGACTATAATTTGAAATTTTTCATTGTTGAGAAATAAATTCTCAGATTTCATTAAAATAAATTCTAAAACTTACAAATGAGTAGCATCTACTTAAGAACCAAGGGATCAAAAACAGTAGAAGAAAAGGTATTATTTATTCCCCCTAAATCCTCACAAGGACAATGATGTTTGTATATATGTGTAGAAGGGATAAACATATAAAGCATTAATAAGTATAATTGATGCAAAACTTCTAAAATACAGTTAGAAAAGCTAGTAAAGCAACAGTTAAAAAATGAGGGCTTTTAGACAATGATTAAAATAAATAGTACAAATTTTCAAATGAAATTGCAAAGCTCATATAGATAAAACTAAGATGACAAAATGCTGGGATTTTTAAAAGTAGCAAAAAAATGAAAATCTCACATGTTAAGATAGCTAAAAAGTTTTCTTATTTTGTAGAATTAACCCCGAAATTCTAACACACTTAGTTGGGCTTTCACACCATAATATAGTACCTATATTATGGACTTAATCTTTACTTGCATATTTTATATGTAGCTTAAATTGTGAGGCACTCAGTCATTTCTCAAAATTGTTTGAAAATATTATCAAACACACTTCCCCCAACATTTTATGAAATGTAATGGAATGCAGCAATGTAAGTGAAATACAATATAATAATACTGTCCAAAGCCAAGTATGACTTCTTAATATATAATTTCACCTATCACCTTATTTTGATAATTTCATCTATCACCTTAAAGCCAGGATTAAAGGAAAAAGAACCAGTCAACAAGAGTCAATTCACATAAGCATCAACCACAGTCATGTAAATACCCCAATAAATGGAAAAATAAATAGATGAAATTTTTCATTTGTAACTTTTCTGATGCATACAAACTTTCACAATCAGAATGTTGTGATTTTCTTTTTAAAAATTCATTCTACAAGCTCAAGAAAATATTTAAAATTGTATTTTCTTTTAAGCACTCCTATTTTTTAAAGGTGGCATTTCTAAAAGAAAGTTGGTTAAGCTGTTCAGTTTTCCTAGGACAATGTGTAGTTTAGTTTAACCTACTAACTCAATTAGGTATTTCTATTGATTCATCCAGAAAAGGGACACAAGAGAACATTTTTTAAAAGAACGGTCATTTTAACAGTTTCAACAGATACTATAAATTAACTACATTCAGAAAAAAAAAATCTTTCAACAAAGGAATACAGCTACTTTAACTAGCATTCTCTCATATAAAAAAAACTATCAAAGATGTATTCATGTTCCATTAACTGAGTATGAAACAAAGCTATTAAAATATTACAATGTTAAATACAAGACTAGAAATCAACTAGTTTCATATCCAATACAGGCACTAAATACTTCAATTTCCAGCTGATTTTTCAAATTTATATTACGGATTTAACTACAACGAGCTTATTCCTACAGGATTAAATGAATTACTCAATGGTGAGTAGATTTTAGCTCAGAATTTCATATGGACAGCTCGCTATAAATCACTATTCTACCTGCTGCTGTGTTTCTGCTCACTGTTGCAGGTAGCCAGACAGATCATGTACTGATCAAATAAGTGTGCTGTGATCTGCTTACATGTTTAAAAGTGGCAATAAGGTTAAAAGGCACAAAGCAAAGTAGTAATTTTTCCTATTACTTATTTGTAGAAGAATCTACTTACTTTTGGGTTCTGTTTAAATGATCACTAAGAAGAAATTGCAAATTTCCACGCTGGTGAGGGGGAACAGGTAGGTCCTCTTCATAAATTTAGCAGCCTTCAAAGACATATACAGGGGTTGGCAAAAGTAGGTTTATAGTTGTGAGTACATGAAACAGAGTTTATTCTTGAATCATTATCCACTAATTATTGTTTATTTGTACTACAACTGTAAACCTATTTTTGCCCTCCTCCCCTTTACAGAAACATTTGGGGGCATTTTAATAATTGAAAATGCAAACGGACAAACTGCCATTTACTGTTAAAAGACCCTTTTTGTTTAATATCTATATAACCATTTCCTCATATTTTCTTTAAAATCTATCAGTATAGCATTTCATTTTTATGCATGGCTTTGCAATTAATAAAACTAAATAAGTAGCAAACTGATATTCTACACCAGTTCATTTATCTCAATATATATTTTGAAATATAATGGCAATATTAAAATAGGTAATAATGCTATAAGATTTTACATGAAGTTAAACAGCTTTTTTTTTGAAAAAGTTTCATTGTTTAAACTCTATACATTTGACATCTGACAAGGAACATGTAATTTTGCCGTAGAATATTTATTCCATCAGTTTAAACTGAAGTGTCTCATGGAGCTAACCACTAAAAGAATTTACATTAAAAAAAGGCAATAACCTGTATATACACAAAATTATCATTCCATATTTACATAAGGGAAAAAATGGAGAATCACTAAAACTGGAAACTGCTATAGGTGTGACAATCCTTTCTTTAGACATTTTTAGTTAGTAATCAGATAAGCTTACAGAAGCATAACTAAAATATTTTGGTTTTCAGTTTCTTATTATTTCAAGGAGTCAGTACATTATAAACAGCCCAAGAGTTCAGGGACCAACTAATTTAGTTTAGTTTTTACCATCAAATCTTCTTTAGCTCTCATGATGAAACTAAATTCACAGAAAAAATAAATAGTATGCTAAAAGATATAAATAAAATTACAGTTCATCCTCCTTTATAAATGCTGGTCAGCCGCTCCAATTCTTTACAGTTATCCATGCTCAAGGCTTCTGCCTTTCTTCGAAGTCGCTCATCTCGGTACACTTTTGCTGCATATTGCATATCTGTTTCTGTTAACAAACAAAAATATTTTGCTAAGTAAATAATTTAGATCACTGAGTTGTTTGAACATAAATGATGTTTCATAGATAGAAACCCTTCAAATACTTCTGTTAACTGACTTTTTAAAAACAGAAAAAAATCTAACTGCTACTCTCCAAAGCCATTTGGAAACCTAGCACATACAAAACACACAGAGCTGTTAGGAAAAGCAGCAAGGATAGAATCCCACCAACCTTTTCCCTCCACTCCTGTCCCCAATGGTTTAAGAACTGCTCTAAAGATCATCTTGATTCCTTACCCTAAAGACATCATATGCTATTCAATTCTGCCACTGTTTGTTTTTGCTATGACCTTTCATTAAGGTTTCATATTAATTAAGCCAAGACTTACAAGTAGAAAATCTTGAAATCTTTTTCTGAGTTTGCTTGAATTAAAACACACACACACAACCTTACTGAAGGAACACAAATGAGAAAAAAAGCTTACACTATAATCATAGTAGTGATATTAAGCAAATAAGTACTTTGTAGGCTGCCTTCAGTACGTGGAATGCATTTTTTACTAAAGAAAAGTAAATGAACTAGAAATCAAACATTCTTCAGGGAAGTTGTCTCTTACTTTCCTGTTATTCTCAGCCATTTCACTGTTTGTTAAGACTTTTAAAGGGTGGCAGTGCTTAGAGAGGATGTAACAAAAAAAGGAAAAAATGGAAAACGGTGACTAAAGTAGAGAAAATTAGCCAGAACTACAAATAAGATACTCAAAAGTAAGAGTGTTATCTATTTTTAAAGATCTTAAAAAATGATCTTTATTCAATCAAATCAGGCTTGGATTTTTTAATTAAAAAAATTTATTATTGTGCTATTGTGCAATTTTTAAAATTTTATTTAATTATTAAATTTTAAAAAATTATTCAATTATTATTTTACTCTCATCCTAGCCCACCCCCCCATCCCAGTGCTCCCCACCTCCCTCCCATTTCCACCCCTGTTTAGTTTTTGTCCATGTGTCCTTTATACTTGTTCCTCTGAATCCTTCCACTTTACCCTTGAAATCCCCTCCCCTCTCTCCTCTCTGGTCCCTGTCAGCCTGTTCTCTATTTCAGTGTCTTTGGTTATATTTTGCTTGCTTCTTTGTTTTATTGTTTAGGTTCCTGTTAAAGGTGAGATCATATGGTATTTGTCTTTCACTGCCTGGCTTATTATATTCATTCAACATAATGCTTTCCAGTTCCATCCATGTTGCTGCAAAGGGTAGTAGCTCCTTCTTTCTTTCTGTTGCATAGAATTCCATTGTGTAAATGTACCATAGTTTTTTTATCCATTTATTTACTGATGGGCACCTAGGTTGCTTCCAACTCTTGGCTATTGTAAATTGTGCTGCTGTGAACATTGGGGTGCATAGGTTCTTTTGGATTGGTGTTTCAGGGTTCTTAGGATATACTCCTAGCAGTGGAATTGCTGGGTCAAAAGGCATATTCATTTTTAGTTTTCTTAGAAAATTCCATACTGTTTTCCATAATGGTTGTACCAGTCTGCAATCCCACCAACAGTGAACTAGGGTCCCCTTTTCCCCACAACCTCTCCAGCACTTGTTTGTTGCTTTGTTTATGATGGCCATTCTGACCAGTGTAAAGTGGTATCTCATTGTGGTTTTAATTTGCATCTCTCTGATAGCTATTGATATTGAGCATCTTTTCTTGTGTCTCTGGATCCTCTGTATGTCCTCCTTGGAGAAGTATCTGTTCAAGTCCTTTGCCCATTTTTTAATTTTAACAACTAAATAGAAATCAGTCCACCCTTTTTATTTATAAATGAGGCACTTAAAAAATCCATTTGCAGCTGATTCTTCCCAAATGAGGTAAATTAATCCAAAGTTCAGAGGGCTAGTATATGGTAGAATCTAGATTCCAATCCAAATCTCCCACTCCTAGTCTAATATTCTTTACATTACCTCAAATTATTGTATTTTATAAAATACCTATTTTACCAATCTAGGCATTACAAAGTGTTGGAAGTGACTCTAAAACAGAAAAACCCTGGCCAAAAAATATAAATTGGCAAATTTATAAAACCCTGGAAAAAATAACAATAATCTTTTTGATATTAATTTATAAAACAATAAATTAATTATTGTCTTAAGTGAATCTCATCTTAACAAGTGAAACATTAAATCAATAGATTAATGTTATACTGAGTCCCTCCCCATTTCCATCTTCATTTAAAACCACTAACATAGATGTGCTGAACTTGAATTTTATTTTGAAAATTTTAAACCTACACAAGAATGCTACAACACCCTAAAACCCTTTACCTTGATTAATTCTTCACATTTTGTCAAATTTGCTTTAGCTATATCTACAATAAACCTGTTGTTATTGTTGTGGTGATTATTATAACTTTGTAGAACCATTTGAGAATCAGTTAGAGATATTATGACCTTTCATTCCTAATTACTTCAGCATGTTTTTAAGAACAATTGCTTTCTCTTATATAACCACAATACAATTTTCAAAATCAGAAATTTAACAATGATACAGTACTATTATCTAATATATAGTCCATATTCAAACTTCAAAAATATTACTGATGACAAAAATCCCCATAAATACCATTTAAATCCTTGCTATATGCATAATACTGTTACAGGCCAAATGTATATTAAAACATTCTGTCTTATTTAAGTACTGAGCCCTGATTATGTACTAGGCAATTCCAGACTAGTCCTTGAATAGGGAAACCTGCGTTATCAACTCCCAAGACTATGAATAAGTTTTTAAATGTTAAGCATTTGATAAACTTACTCTGTTGTCTTTCTTTCCAGCAATTATTTCGAATATTAGTCACATAATCTTCTTCCACACTTTTTTCGACCTTCTGTAATAACACTCCTTTATATTCATTTTTAAAGTCCTTGTTGACATAATAAACGACACCCAAGTTTTCTGTCTGCATTTTAATAGTTTGCCCTGATCCACTGTAAAAGAAAATGCTTGCTCATTATTTTTAATTTAAACTGTACATTCTGATCTGCTAGTATAACCCAAGTTAACAAAATACTGAAAAATGATTAAAAAGTCATTACTGGTAATCATTTATTTATATTACTTTAAATCACCAACCACTACCATTCATATCATAAAAAAGTAATCATACTTCATTTTTTAACATAATCATTATGACACAGTATTTTCTTATAAGTTCTCTCAATTTTTAGTTAATATAAATCTTACTTGGAAGAAATAAAAAGTTATTTCTTATTTTTAGACCAATGTTTTTAATGCTGTAAAATCACTGGCAGTATGATTTTACAAAGTCTCCTATAGGTTCATGGTATTATACTGATGTTTATAGAATAGATATATTAAATTTCTTTTATATACTGGCATTAAATATAAAGTACTTTATGGAAAAATACTTCATGCAAAAGAAATATTTTTTATTTCATCAATATTTTACAAACAGAAGAGTGAAATCAATTTCCCCTTAGTAACAAAAACTCATGTAAGGTTAATAGCAATTCTATTTTTGTCTTTAATGTCAACATATTACTTATTACATTACATTGCTATTAAATATAAATACTATAGCACTTCAGTCTTTATCCACAATGGAACAGATGTAAACTAACAACATAATGTTTTATCACTTGAGTAACTATTTTAAAAATTAGGCAATGTAAAATCTGATACATGTACAGTGATAGAAGATATGGCACTTAAAAGCTCAAAAAAGCACAAGGCCTTTTAAGGAAAGCCAGGTAAGAAACAATTGCAATTCTTTTTTGTAAAACGTCACTTAGCTACTTACGATCTGGGATGTAAGGAATAAGGAGGATTAGAGACCATCAATTGACTTAGTAATGACACGAGGATCAATACAATAATGGGCATCAGCTGAATAAACACAGAAAAACCTCCCTATAAAGAAATCATCAAAGAAGAAAAAACTAATATAACTATAGTTGTCAATAATCCAGCTGTCATGCATTTTTAGCGGCAGAAATGGTATTTGAGATCTGATTCAGTGTTTTCAAATCTATCTGAACATACCAACTTCCTAACTTGATTCTTAAAATACAGCTTTCCAGGTGCTTCATCTAGTGATCCTGATTTGGAAAACACTAACACAACCTGATCTTATTTTACAGACCAGAAGCTCTCTCTCTCACACACACAGACCTCACCAATATGCAGCAGGTACACTTTTTCTTTGGATTTGAGGGTAGAATGGAAGCTGATGAGTGGCAGAGTGAGGGCCCAGGCCTTTTAATTTACAGTCTAGTGCTCTTTCCACTTACCGTTCTACTTCATGTGATTTAACTGCTGTATGCAATTAAGTATAACTGCATTAAAACAAGGAAAGTTATATCCAATTTAAATATTTCAGTGTAAATTCTAAAATTCTTTAGGACCAACAATAAGACATAACCTTCAAAATATGCATACTGCAGGTTACCTTCACTAGAATCACAGAAAAGCACATTTAAAGGTGTCATATTGCCCAATCATCCTCCAGCCTGACTTCTACACATGCTCCCCTAACACCTCCAAGGGACATTGTAGTCAGTACTCGCTCTTTTCAGACAGCTCTAGTTGCTTTTTCTGAATTGAAATTTGCCATTTTATAAATTGTAATCATATCATAAACATACATCTCCTCTTTCTTCTTCTCTTTCATGTCCACTATGTCGATGCTGATGTTGTTGGCTATAACCAGCTCGCCCGTTTGAAAACGAGTGTACGCTACCTAGAAAAATTAAAAGCAAGGTTAAATTAGGGAGAGCAATTATGATAAAAAGTTATATTTTCTTTTACAAAGAACTTATTTTTAATTTTTATTTATATTCTGAACATTTAATTTTTAAAAATTACTAAAATAATGCATTATTGAATAGTGAATGCTTATTGTCTTGTGAATGAAGGGTGAACAGAAACAGGAATGATTCTTCCCAGACTCTGCTTCCTTTAAAGATTAATTCTTTTTTTAATGAAAACTTGAATACAAGTTCCTCCCTAATATGTATACACAGAGAACTTTTGTTGTGGTTGGCTGTTTTTACAAACCTTAGATCATTACTCTGAAACTCTGCTTTCTGCATTTATCAACTCATCACAAATATCTCTGAAAATTAACAGACAGTGATCTAATTCATTTTTGAAAAAAAATAGCTGTAGAGGTGGACCAGAATTTATTCAAATATTCTCCTTCTGATGGACATTCAAGTTATTTTCAAATAAGGTGACCAACCAGAAATGACTACAACTGACAGAGTAAGCTATGTTAAAAAAGCAAAAGAACTATGAAAAAACTATTAGAAAATTCACTATTACCTGAAAGATTTTTGATTGTTCCCAACATATTTTTAGTCAGAATTATTATTCTGAATATTTTTTGAGAGATAATCATATATCTTAATATTTCACAATACAGGTTATATTTTTCAGTCATTAATTTGTATTTACACATCTTCCCTACCAGGATTTTTTACAAAATGTCTGTCAATGACCATCACCTTTCTCAGTAATATTAGGACAGGGCCACCAGACCAAAATACATTGCTAAAAATTCTCTTAGCTTTGAATAAGATGTTTAACTTTAAACCTTAAGGAAATGTTGTAAAAAAAAGACTGGGGCTTTAATTTTGAACACCTTAGAGGAGCTGCTCTTAAAGAAAATTAATTTCCATGCAACAACTCACAGTAAATATAAGCAGAGTTTAATACTACTTATGCTATTATAAAATCTATTCATTTAGTAGTACCTCTATATTTTATTTTGATAGCCTGCAGTAATTATTTCTATCTTACCATAATTTTTAAAACCTACTTACTTTTTTTATATAACCTACAAATCAGATATTTTGATGGTATGCCAATGGAAAACACATTTATCCAAATTAGCAATGGACACAGTATTATAATAAAATATCTACAAAGATCCCCAAGGAACCAATGTCAAATAGTCGTCCACAGTCATAATAGCACTTAACTAAGACATTGCCACTGGATTACCTACTTACATAGCCTTTCTTTAGCTTTACATAAAATACAGAATATCTGTACTCTTCATTTCTTTGTATTTTCAATTAAAATATGTCCTAGGAAAAAGGCAGATTTATAGTAAATGTAATGAGTCTAACATTTTCTTCTACCTTCATGAAAAACCATCACAGGATAATAATATTGTTAGAAATGTAGGGAAGAAGGTAGATAAATATCTAAGTAGCCTATATAGAGGTAAGAATCTCTAGCTTCATAAAATATAATATTTATAATTAACATTAAAATACCTGAAGGAAATCCACCACCAAAAAATATATTAAACAAGTCTTCTGGAGTTATATCAGCTTCACAACCTCTATGGAAATTAAATCTACCATTGTTTTGGTGATTACACGCTTGTTCTTCATTGCCTGTGAGGTCATATTGTTTTCGTTTTTCTGGATTGCTTAAAATAGCATAAGCATTTCCAATCTCTGCAAAAGTAATGAGTAAAAGTTGATAAGCAAAGTTTTTACATATTAAGACTACCCTATATTAAACAAACTCATATTAACAACAAAAACTACTTGAGGCTAATTAATAAAATAGTAAAACAGTAACAATTTCTTTTAAAGGTATTATACTTACTTGCAATTACACATATTACCTCCCAATAAAATTTTTTATACTACATAGGCAAGTCTCCCTACTACCTTAAATATAAAGGAATGTCGATCTTATGTTCTTACTATTGTGCTCCATATTCTAATATCCTGCTTCTTCATTTTTGAGTATCCTAATCTAGTCAATTCGTTAGTATCATTCAAACCTATAATAATAGCAGTAGCTAGCTACCAACTGCTGGGGTCTGAACCCAACCCATGGGCCCCAAACCTTATTATATTATCCATTACTATACCCACTGTACAGATGAGTTGCCTAAGGTTCACAAAGATTAGGAAACTTGTTCAAGGTCAATTTTTTTAGCACAGCAAGTATACTGTATGCAACCTACATCATAAATCTTATTTTGCATCTTGCAGCTATTCTGCATTCTATTCCTGAAAAATTTATTCCTCTTAAACTCCATGAGAGTAAGGACTGTGTCTATGTTTTCACTGCATTATTCCCATGGTTCAACATAAAGTCCAACTTTGTTTTTGAATGAATCCAGATGGTCTTTAGTTTTACCATCTCACTTTGTTACTTTCATGATATTTATTTATAAAGAATTCAGCCTCCCATCTCATACTCCTGAAACCAAAACAGGCAATGGTACAGGTGGTGATCATTTTGTAGTTATATAAATGTATAATCACTATATTGCATACCTGAAACCAACATAATATGGAATGTCAACTGTAATTGAAGAATTTTAAAAATTATTTTAAAAAGAGGCAATGGTACACTGGTTATCAAAATGTCTTCCTGAGGTACTTTATAAAAGTGTAATGCTTTCATCTAAAAGCAGAACTACCCTATTATCATTCTGACATTTCTAATACTTAATCATTTCATAAGTATAGCTTCTTAAACTCACATAAGCCTCTTGCAGTATGAGATATTTTAAAAATACTCTTTTAATCCCATGTGATTGCTGCCATAGGTACTGTGAAGCAAATAGACACTCATTAGGTAGTTGTTTTGGGCTGATCACATATACTGAAATTAATTAAATACAGATACTCTGGAACTTTCTTCTGAAACCTGGATTTCAGAGATAGGTCTCAGTGGGACCAAATGCATGAAAAATTAGGTGAATGATCCATTTATTTGAGGAGATAGTCCAAAACTTTCTTTACATTCTCAAATAGATCTGACTTAAAAACGTAGCCATCATTTATAAAGTTGCTTCAATGGGAAAGTATAAGCAGAGAGCCCAACAACATACTTGCAAACACCACCAAAGTATTAACCTATAACCTAAAAAAAAAAAAATAAAACATGTCTATCAATATCTGCCAAAGTGGTACTTTGAGTAATAATGTCAGCTTTAGAGTTTAACCTCTATTCACTAAATGGACTAATTTCATAATGTTTTTACTTTTTAAAGTAATAGTATATTGTTAACCCAATTTTATTTTTAAGGCTTTGCATTTTTTTAAAAAAATTCCAGGAATGGGTGTAATTGGAAGAGGATAAAGAGGGATAAATGGTAATGAAAAAATATAATTAAAAAGTATTATGAAAAAAATTCTAAACATTAAGATATTTTATAAGATACTTGTGAAATACTTTTATAATACATAATCAGAGACATGTAAGAGAATGTATTCCATCTAATATGACTAATTTTCTATTAATTTACTTTGTGCTATACCATAATCAGAATTTTTTCAGTTCCTTATTATCTAAAGAATTAAATTCAAAATTTATTTCCGTATTCTACTGCATTTCTACTGCAGGGTCAGTTACATCACAAAAAGACATTTTCCCTTTATTTACTTTTTTTAATTAAACTTTTTAATTTTGAAATAACTTTATATTCACATAAAGTTGTAAGAAATGAGTAATACAGACAGATCCCTGTACCTGTTCTAATTTTTCCCAATGGTAATATCTAGTAAAATTATACTACAGTATGATATAGGGTAATGACATTGGTACAATCAGGATATAGAATATTTCCATCACCACCCTCACATTGCCATTTTATCGCCCTATCCACCTCCTACCCCCACCCCCTCTTTGACAACTCCTGACAACCTCTAATCTAGTCCTTATTTCTACAATTTCAGCATCTGAAGAATGTTACATAAGTGAAATAATACAGGATATAAGTCACATAAAATATTTTAAGGTGTGCTTTTTTCAACTAGCATAATTCTTTGGGGATTGATCCAGGTTGCTATGTAAAACAATATAGTTCATTGCTTTTTATTCCACAGTATGGGTATATATATCACTGTTTTATCACTCACCCACTAAATAGCATCTGAAGTTTCTAGTTTTGGGTACAGGTTTATGTATAAACATTAATTTTTACTTATTTGTGATAAGTGCCCAGGAATGCAATTGCTGGGCTGCATGGTATCTGAATACTTAGTTCTTATGAGAAGTTGTCAAAATGTTGAACAGAGTGACTGTCACTTTACATCCCATCAACAATGTATGAGTGATACAGTTTCTCTGTATCTATAGAAGTAGTTGGTATTGTCACTATTTTTTATTTCAGCCATTCTGACAGGTGTGTAATGACATCTCATTCTGGTTTTTGTATTATTTCTAATGGCTAATGAAAGGATGTTAAGAATATTTTCATATGCTTACTTGACATTTGTTTATCATCTTTAGTGGAATGTCTTTTCTCCTATCTTACCTATTTTCTAACCAAACTGTCAATTTTTAAAATTTGAGTTTAGAGAGTTCTTTACATATTCCAGATATTAGTCCTTTGTCAGATATGTGTTTGGCATTTTTTTCTCCCTTCCTGCTGTTTGTCTTTTCATCTTTCTCATGGAGGCTTGGCAAAGCAAACTTTAAAAAGTTTTAATGAAACCCAACTTACCAACTTTACCGTCTGTATAAATCATTGCCTAGCCCAAGATCCTAAGGAAAAAATCCTATGTTTTTTTGCTGACACTTCAAAAGTGTTCTAAATATACATTCACAATTCATTTTGAGTTCATTCTTGTATTAAGCATGAGATTTAGGTGAAGGTTAATTTATTCACTTATTTATTATTTCACCTATGAATATCCAATTACTCCAAAACCATTTGCTGAAAAGGCTGTCTTTCCTCTATTAAACTGCTTTTGCACCACTGTAAAAAAGCAATTGGGTAAATTTGTATGGATCTACATCTGGGGTCCCTATACTGAAGTCTATCACTCTCAATACCACACTGTTTTAATAACTGTAGCTATAAAGTAAATGCTCAAATCGGGTATACTGATTATTCCTACTCTATTCCTTTAATAAACTGTTTTTTTTTTTAGATTCTTTGCCTTTCCATATGAGTTTTAGAATAAACTTGATTTTATTTATAAAAAAGTCTTGCTAGGTAGGATTCTAACAGGCACTGTGTTAAGTATATGTATCAATTTATAGAGACTTGACATTTTTACTTTTTTGAGTCTTCCAATCAATGAACAAATTAATCATTACATTTACTTAGATCTTCTCTGATTTCTTTCATTAGTATTGTATAGCTTTCAGCATACAAATCCTATACAAGTTTTGTTAAACATCAAACTGAAAACTTTTTGCATAGCAAAGGTAGCCATCAAAGAAATGAAGAGACAACCTACTAAATGGGAGAACATATTCACCAATGAGGTATCTAATAAAAAGTTAATATTCAAAATTTATAAAGAACTCATACTACTTCAAACCAAACCAAACTAAACAATTCAATTTAAAAATGGGTAAAAGCCTGAATAAGACACTTTTCCAAAGAAGACATAGAGAAGGCGATGGACATATAAAAGGGTGCTCAATTTTGTCACTAAGGTTACTAATTTTGAGAAAAATGCAACTTAAAACCACAATGAAATATTACCTCATGTCTGTCAGAATGGCTATCACAAGAAATCCACAAATGACAAGTGCTAGTAAGGATGTGGAGAAAAGGGAACCTTTGTGCACTGTTGGTAGGTAGGCAGATTGGTGTAGCCACTGTGGAAAACAGTATGGAGGTTTCTCAAAAAACTGAAAGTGAAACTGCCTTATGACTCAATGATTCCACTTCTGGGAACTTAATGGAAGAAGCCCCAAACATTAATTCAAAGGACTATACATAGCCCTACATTCACTGCAGCATTATTACAATAGCCAAGCTATGGAAGCAAACCAAGTGCTCAACAGACAAGAAGATAAGAAAGATGTGGTACATAAACACAATGACCTATTGCTTGCCCATAAGAAAGTAGGAAATCTTACTATTTGCTACAGCATGTATGAACCTAGAGGGTATTATGCTAAGTGAAATAAGTCAGCCAGAGAAAGACAGATATATGATTTCACTTATATGTGGGATCTAAAGAACAAAACAAACAAAAGTGAAACAGACTCACAGATACAGAGAGAGAATTGTATTGGGTGAGAGAATTGGGGCACTGGGTGAAAGAGGTGAAGAGAATAAGAAGCAGTTAAAAATAGTTAAGGGAAGTAAGTAAAGCATAGGAAATATAGCCAATAATACGGCAATAACTATGTATGGTGCCATTTGGGGTACTGGAAAGATCAAGAGGAACACTATATCAAGTATATGATTATCTAACCACTAAGCTGTCTACCTGAAACCAATACAAAATTTAAAAAAAAATTTAATTTATACCTAAGTCTGTTATGTGTATGACTGTAAATGGTAATATATTTTTAATTCCAGGTCTATATATGTCCTGCTAGTATATAGAAATATATTACTTTTAAATGTAGAAATTGATTTTTGTGTATTTATCTCATATCCTAAAACACTGCAGAATTCACTTATTAGTTTTAGGATTTGGGAGGTATATATTCCTTGGGATTTGATACATAATCATGTCATTTG